TGACGCACCCACGAATGCCCCCTCAGAGTGCTTAATGCCCAGACACGTGAGGCAGCGATCGTGACCATCACCCGACGCCAGGTAACGACCGCATCCAGAAACGCACGGGTGATACGTTGTCTGTAGCAAGACGCAATGTCGTCTTTACAAAGACGTAACGTCACGTTTGCCAGACGCAACATCGTCTTTAAAAAGACACACCCGTGAATGCTTTTTTAGGGTTCTCTCAGTAGAGTAGTCAGGAGCAAAACAATGTGATCGCTCGGTTCCGAAGCGAAAAGCTGGTATGCATTGCACCTGCTGCCTAATTAAACTCGCACTGTGATCAGCAGCAGCTGGATGCAATCATCGCATGCCAATGTACATTGGCTCGTTTAGTTACACTCGAAGTGGATTGGTCTCTCTAAGCGAGATCCCAATTCGTCGGTCACCAACGTGACTCGTAGTGACCGACTGAAAGACAACTGAACTGACAAATATACGCAGTCAGATAAATGTAAATGGATGTCCAAGGAATGAATAGACTAATAAAGCATGAAACAGGAAGCATGTGCAGAGGTGGGTAGAGTAGCCGAAAACTGTACTCAAGTAAAAGTACAAGTAGTTACTGAAATAATTACTCAAGTAAGAGTAAAAGTTGCAGTCCAAACAGTTACTTGAGTAAGAGTAAAAAAGTATCCAAAGAAAAATCTACTCAAGTAGCGAGTTACTAGTTACTTTGGAGATTATATATATATATATATATATATCAAATTTAACCAGTTACTTCAATCAATTACAACACTATAGACTGCTACCAATCTCATTTTTTACATCAACAAAAGCCCTCTTTACACTACAAAGGTGTAACATCGTGTACACTTATTTAAACAAAACTGCATAATGTAAATAGCCTGTAAAAAACAACTCATTAAAGGGTGAAGTTGCAATGTCATGAAAAAAATCATTATTTCTGATTATTCATCTTCTTGATATCAATGACCATAAATAAGTTGATTACAGTGGTGTATAAAGTACCTGAAAGCCATACTCAAGTAAAAGTAGTTCAAAAAGCTGATTCATTCAAACGACTGATTCATTCAGAAACAAAGCATTTGACTGTGTTAATGAGCGAATCACTGAATCATTTATTCAACAGATTCGTTCAAAAAGTTGATTCATTCAATAAGTAAACACCGTCCTTTGCTCAGAGAGAGACGCAAAACAGTGCTGTGATCTTTGTTTGGAACTATTTTCATTGGCAAAATTGAGCAAAAACAAGCGATATTACGTCTAATGTAAGTCACTTATTGCTAACTTTACTGAACTTGTATAAAATGATTATTACATTTGTTATGCTGATATCTGCAGAAAAACGGTTCTCTTTGTGTGATATAGATTAAGTTAACTATATTAAATTATATAAATATAAAAAGCATACAGAAGCATTTTTGCCGTCTACAATTTAGAATGCCTTGAATTTTGAGTTTTAATAGACTAATAAATCACATGCATGCACTCTATGTGATTTGGTTATATACTTGATAATGTCAGATTGCACATCATTACAACGACACTTACCATATTACCACTCCAGATAAAAGACACAGTACGCTTGTAATACATTACGCATTTCTTAACATGTATTGCATAAAAATTAAGTAACGAGAGGAACGTTGCCCAGTGTAGTGAAGTAAAAGTACAGATTTTTTCATTATAAATGTACTCGAGTTAAAGTAAAAGTATCCATCTTTAAATCTACTCTTAAAAGTACAAATTTTTCAAAAATGTACTCAAGTAAATGTAACGGAGTGAATGTAATTCGTTACTACCCACCTCTGAGCATGTGCCACTGGAGAAATAGGTTTGTGCACAACAACTCTGCTCTGAAATTCCTGTCAGTTAGCAGAGAAAAGGATAAATTTAGAATGATGCTTTAAATCAGTCACATCTCAACAATAGCAGGACAGATTGCATTCTGAGTTAAGATTACACCCACATATGAAACACACACACACACGCAAACAACTGTAATTTTTCCCCCCTCAGGTACATATATAAAAAAGGACATGGCTGAATATCCATCCATCAGTTGTCAAGAACATATGCGTAATTTTTTGCATATTTGTCACACTTAAAAGATTCAGATCATCAATTTTTTTTTATATTAGACAAAGATAATGCAAGTAAATACAAAATGCAGTTTTTAAATGATGATTTAATTTATTAAGGGAAAAAAGCTGTCCAAACCTACCTGGCCCTATGTGAAAAATTAAAACTGAGTTAAATTTCACTAGCCACACCCAGGCCTGATTACTGCCAGACCTGTTGAAACAAGAAATCACTTAAATAGAACCTGTCTGACAAAGTGAAGCATGCTTGAAGAGCAACACATCATGCCACGATCTAAAGAAATTCGAGAACAGATGAGAAACAAAATGCCATGTATCAGTCTGGAAAGGGTTATAAAGCCATTTCTAAGGCATTGGCCATTATCCACAAATGGAGAAAACTTGGAACAGTGGTGAACCTTCACAGGAGTGGCCGGCCTACAAAAATTAATCAGCGCAACAAAAAGTGAAGCATGCTTAAAGAGCAACACATCATGCCGCGATCTAAAGAAATTGAAGAACAGATGAGAAACAAATTAGTTGACATGTATCAGTCTGGAAAGGGTTATGAAGCCATTTCTAAGGCTTTGGGACTCTAGCGAACCACGGTCAGAGCCATTATTCACAAATGGAGAAAGCTTGGAACAGTGGTGAACCTTCCCAGGAGTGTCCGGCCTACCAAAATTACTCCAAGAGCGCAACGACGACTCATCCAGGAGGTCATAAAAGAACGCAGAACAACATCTAAAGAACTGCAGGCCTCACTTGCCTCAATTAAGGTCAGTGTTCATGATTCAACAATAAGAAAGAGACTGGTCAAAAACTGCATCCATGGGAGAGTTCCAAGGCAAAAGCCATTGCTGACTAAAAATAACACAAAGGCTTGTCTCACATTTGCCAAAAAATATCTTGATTATCCCCAAGACTTTTGGGCAAATATTCTGTGGACTGATGAGACAAAAGTTTAACTTTTTAGAAGGTGTGTGTCCCGTTACATCTGGCGTAAAACCAACACAGCATTTCATAAAAAGAACATCATACCAACAGTCAAACATGGTGGTGGTAGTGTGAAGGTCTGGGGCTGCTTTGCAGCTTCAGGACCTGGATGACTTGCCATAATTGATGGAACCATGAATTCAGCTCTCTATCAGAAAATCCTGAAGGAGAATGTCCGGCCGTCAGTTTGTGACCTCAAGCTCAAGCGCACTTGGTTTATGCAGCAGGACAATGATCCAAAACACACCAGCAAGTCCACCTTTGAATGGCTCAAGAAAAACAAAATTAAGGTTTTGGAATGGCCAAGTCAAAGTCCAGACTTAAATCCGATTGAGATGCTGTGGCATGACCTTAAACAGTCTATTAATGCTCGAAAACCCTCCAATGTGGCTGAATTAAAACAACTCTGCAAAGAAGAGTGGGCCAAAATTCCTCCACAGCGATGTTAAAGACTCATTGCCAGTTATCGCAAACGCTTGAATGCAGTTGTTGCAAAGGGTGGCACAAGCAGTTATTAGATTTAGGGGGCAATTACTTGTCACATAGGGCCAGGCAGGTTTGGACAGCTTTTTTCCCTTAATAAATTAAATCATTATTTCAAAACTGCATTTTGTATTTACTCGGGTTATCTTTGTGTAATATTAAAATTTGTTTGATGATCTGAATCTTTTAAGTAAAAAAAATACAAAAAAAAAACAAAGAAAAAAAAAACAGGAAGGGGGCAAAAACCTTTTCACGGCACTGTGTATATATATATATATATATATACACACACACACACACACACACACAGAAAGTTAAGGCTATTTTAGACTATAGTAGGCAACATTGTGTCTATAATAAAAATAAATACATGCATAATTATAATTTCTAAAGTATCTATATACATCTATTTATGTTTATTCATTGTTTATTCAAGAATAAGAATTGCAAAAAGCCCTCAAAAGTACAAAAGTAATATGCTTAATTATCATAAAAATAGTAACAATGCAAAAACTCTTACTGCTCCTACAAATAGGCTTAATTATCTTTATGCAATTAAGAGATTCACTCATGATTTCACAGTGACAAAAAAAAAAACACTTCTTCCTACTTGAAAATGGCCTTTCAAACCCATATAAACAGCATTAAATGTCATAACAAAATTATGGAACATTGGGAAGAAGAAAAAAAACATCTTACTGGCATAATTTTCTTGTGTACAAAATATATTTTCTTCTTTCCTTCCTCTTTTGGGGTAAAAATAACGTGTTCAGCAAAACATGATGTAAATGGTATTGACATCAAAACTACAGCATGAGCTCAATAATAAATTATTCTACAACTATTCATCATTATATGCTTTGATATAAAGACTGCTGACCACCCTGATAAACAGTGTGAATTATAACATTTCAAGTCTTATTGGTACACTAGTAGTAAAGAAAATTATAAATTACATATAGAAATTATTAAAAAAAAAACACTGTTAAAGTACAAAGCAGTTCATGATCATTTTACAGTTCACCTTCATCTGACTGCTACATTTTGCCCTTCTCTTATACTAGCAGGATAATTAAACTCGCTCATTACAATAACACGTCATTATAACTCCCAGGTGATCTAATATAAAGCCGGCGTGTGATCGGTGTGTAAGAGCTCATATGTGTGTGAGTGTGTGTGAGTGTAAATGCCACACTGCCCACCCGGCGTGTCACACGGAGCAGCGGTGACGTGATAGGCAGGTGTGACATTTACCCTTATAATTTCATCCTCCCCTCTCCCACCCATCTATGTCCATGTCACACACACACACACACACACACACACACACACACACACACCTCTGCTCTTTGTGTCCATGCCTCCTTCATGTCTATACAACTCCACACTACACATGACTAATTATCCACACATCAAATAATCACCATACTATCTGTTGTGGCTTTTTAAAGGTTCTCTCCTCTCTCTCTATCTATCTATCTATCTATCTATCGTGTTTGTGTGTGTGTGTTTCTCCAGGTAAAAAAAAAAAAAGTGCACTTCCATAATATAATTAAAGTGCTCTATTTTCGCGCACTAATTTTGTACTTAATACACTAAAAATGATTATTTAGTACTTCTTAAGATAAACTTAAGATTCTTTAGTACTTACGATCAACTTAAGATCATCTAAGTATACTCAACTGTGCTATTTTGGGACACCATGAATATGAACTAAAATGTACTTTTAACGTACTATCTCTGTATTTGTACTTGTATTTGTACTTGATTTGAACCATCTTTCATACACTACTACACTCAAGTGTACTACAAGTGGTGACTAAATAAATTTTTTAAATACAAAGAGAGTATGTTAAAAGTGCATTTTACTTTATATTCATGGTGTCCCAAAATAGCACACTTGAGTACACTTAGATGGTCTTAAGTTTATCTTAAGAAGTACTAAATAATCATTTTTAGTGGTCACACACACACACACACACACACACACACACACACACACACCTCTGCTCTTTGTGTCCATGCCTCCTTCATGTCTATACAACTCCACACTACACATGACTAATTATCCACACATCAAATAATCACCATACTATCTGTTGTGGCTTTTTAAAGGTTCTCTCTCTCTCCCCCTCTCCCTCTCTCTCTCTCTCTCTCTCTCTCTCTCTCTCTCTATCTATCTATCTATCTATCTATCGTGTTTGTGTGTGTGTGTTTCTCCAGGTAAAAAAAAAAAAAGTGCACTTCCATAATATAATTAAAGTGCTCTATTTTCGCGCACTAATTTTGTACTTAATACACTAAAAATGATTATTTAGTACTTCTTAAGATAAACTTAAGATCATCTAAGTATACTCAACTGTGCTATTTTGGGACACCTTGAATATGAACTAAAATGTACTTTTAACGTACTATCTCTGTATTTGTACTTGTACTTGTAGTACATTTGAACCATCTTTCATACACTACTACACTCAAGTGTACTACAAGTGGTGACTAAATAAATTTTTTAAATACAAAGAGAGTATGTTAAAAGTGCATTTTACTTTATATTCATGGTGTCCCAAAATAGCACACTTGAGTACACTTAGATGGTCTTAAGTTTATCTTAAGAAGTACTAAATTATCATTTTTAGTAAATTAAGTACAAAATTAGTGCGCGAAAATAGAGCACTTTGACTGTAAGTACATTATGGAAGTGTACCTTTTTTTTCACCTGGGTCATATGGGTCAAAAAAGCAATGTCCCATTGTTGGTGACCGCACCAAATGACATATACAAAACTGATTTTATATACATAGAAAGTATACTAAATGCAAAATAGCTTTTGTGAAAATAAAATGTCTAAATATGGTTGAAACAATGTTCCATTGTCATTCATTGTAACATATATATTTATGAAAAAATTAAACAACATTTATTCTGACTGTGCTTATTAAAATACCTAAAAGAATAAGTGATCATACTAAATTATATTATATTTTTAATTATTAAAAACTTTTTGCTGACAAATGGGTAAACCCTAGTGGTCTGAAGGATAGTGGCAAATAATTAAAATTACAATTAACCCTTGGTTCTTTAATGTGTCGTGACAGATCGCTGTAGCCCCTTCAATTCAAGCAGCACATGAAGCGATCATCTCTTCCTCTTTACTAGTTACAGCACAAAATAAACATAAATGAACCATCTGAAGGTATCTTATTTCAACCGCGTAAGGATGTCAATAATACGCACCATTTTCCAAGTTCAAGTTCATAGATGTTAATCTACTCTCCTGTCTGGTTTGTTTGTCAGACAAAATTCCA